GTCTCAACATCTGGTTGTCTACCACTCAAACTCGTCTTGTTCTTCATTCTCCTTGCCGCAAACTTCATCTCATCCTTTGCGAAAACCAAATTCCTCATTGGCTTCCACTGCATAAGTCCCCTCTGCTTTCTATGCAAACCTTTTGAATTCTCCTTATAATTCTCATACTGTTTGATCGGATTACTGGAATGGCTTGACCCGTTGTTTCCATCCGTCCCGCCATCCTCAATTGTTGATCTAGTCGTAGCATCATTCAAGCCTAAATCCGATTCCGCATCAGAGTCTGAGTCGGAAGATGTAGACGTAGTATTCGTGTCCTCGCTCATATTTTCATTGAGATTTGCTTCAACACATCCACCCTCTCCTCGTGGTTTTCGTACCATGCTAGCCTCATAATCAGCATCCTGATACTTCTGTCCCAAACCACCTTTGTTGACGTACTGTGCAGGATCCTGACCAAAAGCTCCACTCCAATCTGTTCCATCTTGATCTAACCACTTAGCCTTTTCATTTTCATCGGCTTGACTGAGAACATCTCTTCCTTGGGTCAAAGACTGATCGTGAAGTTGTTGAACCACTGGTGGGATTTCTTTCGTTACAATCTTACCACGTACACCTTCAGAATGACATGCTTCCCAAGTTTCTTGAGTTTCTCGAGAGTCATTGTCGGTGACAAACTTTTCGTGATCTTGATCCATACCAGCTTTGAATCTCCCCGAAAATCTGAGGCGCCCGATCTCTTCGATTTCCATATCTGGAATTTCGCGGAAGGTTTCCTCTGTGATGTAATTCTGAGTAAGTCTCATGCCCTTGTCAGTTTTCCAGATTGGAATATCAATTTCTTCCGCCTTGTTATCCTCCAATTTGTGGAGCCAGATTACTGCATAGGCATCTGCTCCACGCTTACCGGTGACGTGGAATTCGAATACTATTGGTGAACGATAACGATATTTGACTGGAAGTCGAATGTTATTTTTTCCATCTTTCTTGGCAAGATCCCAGTATACACCATCACCTTCTTCACTCTTTCGGCATTGTGTACGGTTAATCTTTCCTACACTTCCTCCAGTTCGAAGCTTCAGTTTGGAGTTGTTGGCATAGCCAGTAGCCGAAATCCTATCAGATGTAAATTCAAATGTTCCTACATCCCAACCCAATTGTTGTGGTGGTAGTCTGGTTTCGACACTTCTGAAAAGAACGGAGATTCTGACGCGACCAAAGCCAATTCCACCATCCAGAGGATACCATCTTGTAACTTGAGAACTTGTTTGTAATAGATCCGACAACTTCAAAGGAACAACTCCAAGAATTGGGTCGTGTTGTCTCATGCGTTGATCTCGAACTGTAATGGTAATAATTGCTGATCTCCAATCACGGATGAAACGTTCAGTACCTGCATTGAATATAGGCTTTGAGCTAACAACTTTGGAGCGTGTACGATATACCTGACAAAGGTTAGTTATGGTAAATCAAAATTGGAAACAATACTTACCAATTCATCATTGTATAGAATCGTACAGTAACTGCTTGGCAACTTCTTATTTTCCTCTTCCTTGTTTTCACCTGCATCCACTGCTGGTTCAAATTCCCTCCCCTTGCGTTTGCCATCACTGCCTTTGACATTTTGCAATTCAAGGTTAACAATTTGATGAACGATAACACTGCACACACCACTTGGCCACAATGGATCAGGTGGAGTATGAACTGCAGCATCTTCTTCAGGAGTATCAAGACTTCCTTTTGGATCTTGCAATTCTTCCCTGTCTTGCAATTCCTTGGGAAGATTAATATCTTTTCCGTGGCTTCTCATTGCCGGTCTGAATTGTGGTTTGCCAAAGTATCCAACTTCCCAATGAAGTTCACCAGGCATAGAACTATCAGAATCCATACCACGAAGTTTAGAAACTTGTGGATACATCTTTCCTGGGTGTTGAATCATCTTTTGCATGGAAAGCTCGACTTTACCAACAACATCATCAGAAGTCGATCGATCAGAATCCCAGAGTTCCATTGAAAGTTGTTCATCAGCTTTGATGAGATCAGGAGTGACGAGCAGAGCACACGTCTCTTCCCAAATTGGGTTGAGATTATCTTGAATGACTCGAGTGCAGTACATTGGCTTTCCGTACTTGGAGAAGCTGACAGTGATGTAAGGATCACTTCCACCACCATCACTTCCACGTCGATCTTGTTTACTGAGACCAGTAGCTTTATGAATTCGGATCCAGAGAACGCCGAGTGCTTCAACATCCTTTTGAATATCGTCACCTTTCAGTAATTTGGCCATATCTAAAGTCATAGATTTCGGAGCGACATATTCATTAGCAGCAGCACCAATGGCGTAATTTACGAAATTGGAGATAAGAGGAAGATTAAGGATGTTAATACCAGTTTCGATCATTGGTACACATCCAGCTTGAACCTTGGGAAGGCCCATCAACGTGAATGTTAGTGCCTTCAAGAATGGAGGCTCTGGTGAAAGTTGAAGACGTAATCGAACGGTTCCTACTAGACCTTGCAATTCAACAAAAATCGGTAGAGGACTGCATTGATTAGTAACTACACACTGTGGAAGGAAATAACAACTTACACTCCGAAAAGTCCTTTCATACCAAGATAGAATACCAGTTGCATGTGCATATTTTTCGCCTTCTCGGAAGTCCCACCTCCTGAAGGTTGAGCATGATATGCGAAAGAGCATTCCAAATTGTAATAATCTCCACCTTCTTCATCTGCAGCCAATTCTTGAGGATCCTTGTTCTTTTCATTTTGTCGATGGATATCATCCTTCATTTCTTGAACATGACCATCAGGAAGGGCTCGCAAACTCAAAATTCGGAAAGGGTTTGTTCCCTGGTTGATTTCTGCGACTCGGACGTTTTCAATGATACCAGGTACTGAAGCTTGCATAACATCTTCAAGAGTATCTGCAACAGACGCAAATAGATCGGGGTCAATGAGTCCCCACATAACGCCCAAGAGAGAATTCATCCATTCGACGGATTCCGGAATTAAATTTGCGGTTGCCTGAGCATATTAGCTTGGAGACTCAATTGTGAGATGTATATACCAACCATTTGACCCCTTTGTCTTTCACTCTCCCATTCCATAGCTCGGCCGGATCTTATAACTTCCTTTACCCAAAGAAATACGCCCGATGAAACGCATGCTCCTAAAGGAATAAGACCATATAGAGCTCCCCCAAATAATTTTCCTAAAACCACAATGCCCAAGAATATTCCAACGACAAGTAGCGTTGATCGTTTCTCCAAAGATTCATACATTGGTTCATAGCTGACCGAGGGTGTAGGGTGGAACAAGATATTCGTCTTTTCTCCATGGATTGGAACATCGGAAGTGCTTCCAGGTTCTACTGGATCTGGTGGCGCGGTAATATCTTGATTCTTTCTATATTCTTCCCCGGATTGGGTAGCTTCTGTCTTGACTGGTGTAGACTTGTTAAGATTTGCATTTGGAACGGAAAGCTGTTACCACCAATGTTAGTCATGTATCAAAATCTGGAAGGCTGGCAGATGTAGCATACCTGTGGGTTATCAACCGCCTTCATGAAATCTGCATTGACATCCTCAATCTCCACATCTTTCCCAGTTGTTGGATCGGTAACGATCTTCCTCGTTCCTTCAACTCCATGTGGTTGTCCTTGTGTATGATCTGTCGCATCTCCTTGAACGCGTGATTGCAACTGTTCATCTATTTTTGCATCTCTGTCTCTCTTATCTGAATCTAAACTCTCCACGAATCGTTGAATGTTCGGAATTGGATTGGAGCCAGAGTAATGTGCCCCCGGACCTTTCTTATGATCGTTTGACATCTTGATGAAAATGGATGATTTCTATTGAATTGAGGTCGAATGTAGAGGCGGGAGGGGAAGCGGGGAAAGTGTCTGCGGGATGGGTTCCTGATCGACCAAAACAGCACACCAAAATGCCGTTTCTGATCAACAAAAGTTTCAATTGAAGATGTTCTTACTGCCTTCTGACTGCCTTGACAGCAACTTTGTTATGTTGAATTGTAATAGAAAGAATTGGGTATTGATTATGAATGAGCATGAATATGATGAGGGAAGGAAAGAAGACAACAGAAGCTCACAAGTCACTACCTAGGTAGCCATGGCAAAAATAATTGTTTGGAATTGATGTGGAATTGCATAACAAGGAAAATTGGCTAGGTCGGTAGGAAGTGATGTCATATTCAGGTAGCTTGAGAGCTTCACTGGAGACATTCTTCAGCCAAGCGTCAGCCACGCAACCACAAAGCGGGATTGTGTTTATGTACAATGTAGAATTTCTTGATTTTATCTCTGGAATGAGAAGATGTTATGGAACACGGTTGGTTGCTCTCTATGTTATTAGCAGTGATTGAGGCTCACAATTGCGACGATGAAGCTCGAGAATTCTTTGGTCGGGGAAAGTTCTCCGAACTGATGATCTACCTACAGCTTGTCAGCTTACCTAAGCACACACATTTGCTTGACAGGGCCAAGATGAGGGGCTCCTGCCTTCACACTTCATACATGGAAAACACACGGTAAAATGCGTGTCCTCTTTTGGATATTTGGCCTCAACCAAGATTCGGGTTGAGAAATCAATCGAGAGTATCCAAAAGCCCTTCTTTTCTTTATATTATTTGCAATCGACATCAAAGTCTTCCAATGTGTATGACAGATTCAATTGAGTTTACCCATTTCACCTACCCATGCAGCTATGTGGAGGTAGCTTCGACCTATAAATATCTACCCAGGCACGATCCTTCTCCCTGGTTGGCCTGCTATGTGTCTGATCATTTGTGACCAATGGAATATCTTGGAAGTTGGAACTATGGAGGTGGCTATCCATCTCTAGGGGAACATCCACCACATATTGACACTGACACTGATTGTGTCCTAGTATAGAATATCGGCACCAATATCGAAATCGACATCAGCCATATAAGACAACGACATCTATTATCTCTTACGACGCATTTATCAATCCTTTGACATGAGGCATACTCGGTTCATCAATTGCTGGAAATGTTCCCACGGCAACCTAGATAATTCTCCTCTCACGATCAATGAAGATGGTATGATAATTGATAACCAATTTTGTGACGCCAATGCGGAAGTGGTGGACCTCAAAAACAGTATTATCGCTCCTGGCTTTATTGAATTGCAAATAAACGGTGCTTTGGGTTTTCATTTTGCAAATTATGTCGGTCCTACCAGTTATCATGACGGCGTACAAAAGTTATCGCAATATCTCCCAAGCACAGGAGTAACTGCGTTCTACCCCACAGTACCTACTGTCCGACCTGATGTTTTTCATAATGTCCTACCATTTCTGAAACCATCTAATTCATCTACTGGGGCCAGCGTATTGGGTGCACACGTTGAAGGACCCTTCCTTGCTCCGAGTAAGAAAGGTGCCCACAATGCCGGAAATCTGCTCGTTCCCGAAACTTCGACTCTTGAAGATGTCTATGGAAAACACAATCTCTTAAATGCGATTCGAATTGTAACAATGGCTCCAGAGCTACCAGGGGCATTGAAGCATATCCAAAAACTGAGAGAGGAGTACACCATTACGGTGAGTATGGGACATAGTGCGGCCACTTATGAGCAAGGATTGCAGGGTATGGACGCCGGTGCATCTCTATTGACTCACACCTTTAATGCTATGAATCCTTTGCATCACAGAGAGCCAGGTCTAGTTGGTAAGTTCAACTAAAGTTCAAGGGATTCCAATAGCTCGGTGTGCAGTTTAGCGATCAGAGGCTCTCAATGTTTGACAACAATTTAATTCCCAAACTTGATCTGGTGTTTTCAATCATTTAAGAAATCCAATTTAATCCAGATATTGAGAATTTCTGATCGTTAGACTACAGTTGAGACTGAAGTACACCCTGGACTGAACTAGGCTGAAAATTGACGCTAAATATTCATAGGTCTTATATCTAGTCCAGAAGCTGGAAAGCGACGGAAACCGTCATTCTCATTGATCGCCGATTCTATTCAGTGAGTAAAATATCTCACATTTACTTGAAGCTGGATCGAGATATGTGATGGTTTAGATCTGTCGTCTTTAAATTTTCTTTACTGCGTCAACTGTTTACTTCTTCATCGGGATAGTGGCAGCAAGATTTACGGCTAGGCTTGAAATTCTGGAACTTCCCACCCTACCTCTTCCCCTATCACTCTTTTCTTCCTTTCTCCCACTATCCCAATCATTTTTCTTTTTCTCTCCTGTGGCCCGCTTTCATGCTGACAACTAAAAGCCTTCATCCATCAATTGTCTCCATGGCCTACCACGCTTCTCCACATAAGGCTATCTTAGTAACTGATTCCGTCGAACTTTCCGGTCTTCCAGATGGTATTTATCCTGGGCATTCCCAGATCCCGCATCCACAGCTCAAAGTAGGGAACAAAGTGACTATAGCTGGAACTGAAACCCTTGTTGGTACTTGTATTCCACTGGATCAGTGCGTCAGGAATCTGATGGAATGGGCAAACATAGCAATCGAGAAGGCCGTAATGACAGTCACTGAGAACGTAGCAGCTACGATGGGTTTGGTGGATAGAGGTGGCCTAGGATCCAGCTGCAGAGGGGATTTTGTGGTGATGGATAAACAAGGGTATGTAAAAGAGACTTGGGTGCTAGGAAAGAAGATTTGGAGCAGCAGTTGAAAGTTCATAGCTCGAAGACTCAATACACATAGACCCTAGAGTGCTTTCAAAGTCCTCATACAAATCATTTCTTTCCCGTCGATAACTTTTTAGACTTCTTTCAAACATCTTCTAAGCCGGAACTTTCCCCCAATAGTAAGTGTCAACCATCGGACTTTGTAACATTTGCAAGTAAGTTTGATGGCTGGTGAACGATTGATCTCATTCGGTCAACCACAATTTCTTCAATTCTTGGTATAAACACTTCGTTGAAAAGAACAATTATCTTAAAAGTCTTTCTTGTTCGCGGAAATAGTTTCGTTTGTGATGAGCGCCAACCCTTAAGCTTTAACAGCCTATATTTTGCCGATTACTCAGCATAATGGTACTAATCACACCCTTTGCAACCCAATTTCCAAGGAAACATCAAATGGGGAAAAAGAATGAAAACAGAACCTTAATTCAGCCGTTAAGACTCAACAGCGACAATATCCAGCGCAACAACAAACCCAATCTAGACACATTGATCTGAGAGCCCACAAATACTCACTGTACCTTTACAACTCAAGCAATTAATCGTATATTCTCGACAGATTTTGCGGGTTCCAAACTTCTAAACACCCACTTCTTCCGCGAACAGACATCTTGTCAAAATTAATGCGATGAAATTTCAGGGGGTTCTTACCATCCGAAGATATCAGCCACTTATATTCTTGTGAAATGTCACTCATTTTGAATCGAGCTAGGTATACTGAGAGATACATGGGCATTGTAATGCATGGAGAGCACTGCCAATTTTCTCCCAGATATGAAACATTTTTCTATGCGACATCTTTATCAAAATCAAGAAGATTCTTGTTGCACTGGGAGAATGTCATTCTTGTACCATTAGTTACTTTTGTCAGAATGATATACTGTCAATATAAGGTTAAGCATCGAGAGAGGCAGCCGAGTCCTCTCTCATAACGGCAAGGAGAAGTTTGAGATTCTTTAGTGGAGCATCCCATCAGCCCATGTGGATTCCGGCAATTCATAGGGATGACGAGTCTGATCGCTTGGCAATTAAGGACATGCGACGACAACCCCGCTCTCCTCCAATTATACGTCAGAGTTTTGGGGGGTTATGCTTAAATGTTCAAGAGGTAAGCGAAACTAGATTTGTTCTATAACATTGGCCTGTGAAATTTCATGTGGAAATTTGTAAAAGCATACGACGCATTGGATGGTAAATTTACTTTACGCTGGACCTGCTTCCGCGGATACAGGGGATTGTTGGGGCTAGAACTAGTGTTCCTTTGCGATTTGGTCCTCAGTATTGCGTAGAGAAAGACTCTGTTGATTAGGCCTCATTCACGTCTCAAGCTATATGACCTTGTTATGGCATTCGTGTGATGATATTTTTGGTATAGAATATTGCAAGCTGCTTATTTTTTTCGTGGAGTAGGTTGAAAGCTGAATTGGATTTTGATTGAAGTTTGAATACTAGATACCCCAAAGGGCTCGAAGCATCATTAGCCCCCTTCCCTAATCAGTTTTAGGACGGCAAATCGTAGTGGTACTTGACAAGCTTATAGTTAAGCCTCTTTCTACGGAGAATACTTGCGCGTCCTACCGTTATGACCAGGTTGGGGACCAAGGATTGATATTTGTTATACAGTCATATTCATTGGTTCCTCGAGGAATTGTACTCCATCATGAGAACTTACGACATTATTGATGGGGAATGCTAACAAGCTAGAAGAACACGGTGAACGGTGCACGTTATAGGAAGTGGCTTGGACCAATAATGAATGAGATGTTTCGAAACAAATGGATTGACATCAACCATGAAGCTTACGAAATTCATTGCGAAGACAGCAAGGTCCTTATATTTGCCAAGACTGAATGGTCCATTGACCTCGCTGGTGATAGTGGATATCAGTGACATTCATGGTGACGACTTGCTAACATGATGGCGGTGTTGATGAATGGAGAATACATTGTAGGAATTATAGTTTCAAAATAAACAATCAACACTTTCAAGAACATAAATAGGTTCTCAACGTCTGTCTTTCTTATCACCATCATCCTTCTCATCTTCACTTCCACTTCACTCTTCAAATCTGAACTCAAAGCACTCTTTGGATTTATATTCTTAAACATTCAATATGGTTCAAATCTCTAAACTTGCCATTGCTCTTTCGGCAGCTTGCCTTGCACCTGTCATTGCTCATCCTGGAGAACACCACGATCGCCATGCTATCAAGCGAGAAATCATTGCTCGTGATCAAATGGCTTCCGCTGCCAAAAGATCTCTTGATTCTTGCTCTGGATCCTTGAAGCATCGTCAACTAAACGCACGATCCGTTGCTCGTCGTGCAGAAGCTGCTCGTTTTCTCCGTGCCAAGCGCGATATCAAGACCTGTGAGTAGCACCTACCGATTCCTAGGATTTCAATTCACTCGAAAGATTGTAGCATGCGACATCTTCACAGAAACATCAATACTAATATAAATCTACAGTGCCCAAGAAGTTCCGTCGTGATCTCGCCACCCTTGAAGTCTACGAAGCTATCAATCACAATCAAACCGGTGTTCTCGACTACAGCGTCAATACCCCAGAATCCACCATCTTTGCCGCCAACACCTCTTGCATCTTGACTCCTGCCAATACCGATGGTCCTTACTACGTTCTTGGCGAAACGATCCGCCAAGACGTCACCGAAGGACAAGCTGGTGTTCCTCTCCATCTTGAGGTTCAATACATCGACATCACAACATGCGAGCCCGTTCCCGAGGTGTACGTCGATATCTGGAACTGCAACGCCACTGGTGTCTACGGTGGTATCAATGTTACTGGAAACGTTGCCGATGGAGGTTACGATTCTACCTTCTTGAGAGGTATCCAAGCTACCGATTCCGACGGAGTCGCTACCTTCGATACTATCTTCCCAGGTCATTATGATGGGCGTGCTACACACACCCATCTTCTCGCTCACTCTAACGTTACTGTTCTTGCAAACAACACTATCCAAGGAGGAGCCGTTACCCACATTGGTCAACTCTTCTGGAACGAGGTTCTCCGCAGCGCAGTCGAAGCCACATACCCATACAACACCAATACTCAAGCTGTTACCACCAATGCTGATGACATGTGGTCCATCGTCCAAGCCGAGAACGATTTCGATCCTTTCCCAGAATTTATGTATTTGAGCGATGATATTACCGATGGATTATTGGCCTGGATTCAAATCGGTATCAATACCACTGCAGATTGGTCTGATGATGATTACTATAGTGTCGCAGCTACTATCCAAGCTGATGGCGGACATGCTAGCACTTCTAGCTTCTCCGGCGGTGGAGGTGACGGTGGTGAGGGTGGTGCTGGCAACGGTACAGCTCCAGGAAATGGAACTGCCCCACCTTCTTAAGGAAATTGCAGGTTTGAAGTTTACTGTTACTGTTTGTGTAAATAAGAGTTCAAGTAACTGCAGAGCTACTGCTGTTGGCTCACCGCATGTTAGATTATTCGTTTCAAATATACCTTTTTGGCCTACCTTGGCATTTATCAAACATAGTTATTTAATCGTGTTTAAAGTGATGATTTGGTGACGATTTTATGATTATTACGGCGAGAACCGAAGTTCACTCCAGCCTAAATGTCGAGGGTCTTTGATCTGACAAATCAGGAAAACACTCGACTTTGAGATTGAGCCCCTTCATCGAGATTTTTTTTGGCGAGGCTAAGGAACACTCATTTGACCACGCAACTCGGTTTTTGTTTTAAAGCTTCATCCAAAGTACTTTTGATTCGAATATATTGAGGTAAGATTTTCTTTTTCTCTCTTTTTCGAGGTAAGTAATATTCCAAACAAATCTCTATTCTCCTTGTTGTCAATTAATTGAAAATAGTGAAAAATAACTTGACATTCACTCACTCCAAACCGAACCATTTTTCAATCCTATGAATTTCCCACATTTATACTCTATCTCGCCAAACACACCTCAGTAATATTCTACATTTCTTTGCTTCAGAAAGTCGTTGTCTTACTATTAGCTGTTGATCCTTTCCTTTGCCCAGTAAACCAATGTTTATTGTTTATATGTGCCGATCTTTATTTCACTGTGGCTGAGGGTGACGCGAGTGGCTGCATTTTAACCACCATCTTGAACTCAACTTCAGACAAGTAACCTCGATCGTGTTCAAACCAAAACTTCACAAGCTTAAAGGATATCATGAAACTCACTAGTACACACCAAGCTCTCTTGCTCGCGATATCTTCCCTTTCGGCTCTCACCGCCGCCACATCCACAAGCCTCATCGGCCCAGCATCTACATGCTACACATCTCCACTTCCCACCCTATGTCCCTCGCTTTCTAACGTCACACGCTCTATCCCCTAGGGCACCCCTTCATTCCTCCTTCCAAATGGCACACTCTGCTGCGATTCTCTTACCCAAATACGCGCCGGTATTGACGACATAGACACGCAGCTCCTCAGCCTCCTAGCCCAAAGAGCGGCATATGTAAGAGAAGCGACGAGATTCAAAGCGACTTTGGATACGGTGGATGTGCCGAGTAGAGATCAGGAGGTTATTGAAGGTGCGGTTGCCAAGGCTGGTGAGACAGTACCGAGGTTGCCGGAAGTGATTGCGAGAAGTGTTTTCGAGGCGATTATTAATGGAAGTGTGCCGTTTGAGGAATGTGTTTGGGGGAGTTTTGAAGGGCTGGTATAGGAGTGGTGTGGGTGTGTGTGCGGATGCCAAATTGAATGGAGATTGGAGTGGAGACGAATCTAGACGCACAAAAGTCGGATTCGTAAACCAAATATTCCGACATTTCTATTTTTGAATGAGATTCGTGTGGAGAGCTTGCTATATCTGTGACATATGTCATACCTATGATATAAAGTTTTCGGATGTAGATACTAGAATCCTTGAAGTGGATGAGCTGTGGGATTCAGCAGGTTGTAATTGGCCGGGGAGGGTAGGGCCCCATGGACTTTAAATTTCCAATACCAATTGCTTCGCGGTACTAATCAAGAGTTGTATCAAAGCTGAATTATTCCAGAGAAATTGAACAATACCAAGACAAGTCCAAAATGTTGAGTGAACAGACGCTAAAATTCAATGGCCAGGACCTCGATATGTACGGTCATTATCTCCACTATCTACAAGCCTCTAAAGCCCATACTTTCTCGTATGTATCCAAAAATATATTTATAGCAATAATCTTGAGTTTAGAGACTTCTACAGAAGACAACTTCAACGAGTTCAAGAATATAATGGCATGTACTTTGCCAAACAGGATCAAGGTGGGATTAGACGCGATGCAAACATATGCCAGCAGTATATGCTACAGACCCAAGAGCTATGTCAAAGATCATGCGTACCATCTTGAGAACTGTTCCATCGATTCGATTCGAAACGATGGTTTCTATTGTGTACAAGAAGACCATAGAACGAGTCTGTGATGAAGAGAAGCTCATCACATCACGTGATGTACTCGCGTCTGAAGTTTTTGGCTACGGCGTTCATATTTTTGAACGACACGATGTTTAAGAACATCTAGAAGGCCTGCGTCTTCGATCCAACCATGAAGCAAAATAGCATCACTTTACTAGACTCGTTATATCAAAGCAGATACCTTGCTGAAGACTGATGAATGCCCGGGGCTTCTACTCAATGACGATCAACAAGCGCTCTGTCTAACTTCAGTCGTACGGCGATATGATCTGGTATCTTCGCTTGGACCTTCTCCTCACTCTCCAGTACGTGTTTAAGAAATAAGCTCTGAATTCGGCTTCCAATACAGACAATACAAGGCTACTTAGTTTTGTACAATTATGTATTTGCACATCGCTCAAAATATCAGGGATGTTCACAATGAAGGAGCAGGCCAGTGGAATGCATGTATTATTGACTATGTAGATTAATCGTACTAAGGTTAAATCTAACTACGAAGTGGAAGTGATATATGCACAGTAGCTTAGAGCACGTGCCACAACTTCCAACAAGGGATTCAAAAATACATGTATAATGCAAAAGTCCACGCTTAAACTTCGTTGGTGGAAACCTTTTCAGAGAGTATGACGTACTTTCTTGTAACACATAATGATACTATAGCCATTGTATTCAGCTTCAATATAGCTCTGATAGTAAGCTTGCGGACTTTTGGGTCTGGAGCTTTGGTTATCTTCGGTTGACAGTTAGGAACAGTTTGAGGAAATTCACTGGAGATAGCTCCAATGAGTGTGATTCAAGTGAATCAAGAAAAATATTCAGATGAGTTTTCTGGGCCCACATGTTGATTGGATAATCCTTACTCACCGTTGAAAGACTCTTGTACATAAAGCTCATAGTTCTTGATTAAGTCTCTTTTTCCTCAGGTTAGTAATTAGCTTTTGAGCGATAGTTCGTTGATGAATTGTTGGAGAGATTCGTGGAGGCTTGGTTTAATAACCCAGAAGACCTCTCTGGTAGTTCGTTATACACTTGCTTTCTAAATACTGTACCAAGAACTTTTCACTAAGTACAATTTTAGACAGGCCATTTATCAGCTGTGATATGCTTATCTTAGGTCAATCATTAATGTATTGAGTACTGGAATCACTTGCGCTTATGCATTTTTAATCTGAACAAACTTGTTGCATCGCTAGAGCGGCTCGACCTTCAAGTTCGATCGATCAACGAAGACCACATCACTTGATGGGTTCCATGATAGCAGATTTGCTATTTGAATCAGCACATCGTCACAACTAACATACAAACATGTTTTTTGTTCAAGGCTGACTAAGAAAATATAAATAGTAACCCCATAACATGACAGAGATAAGGCAGAATAAAATGTATAAATTCAAGAAACAGAATCTCACAGAAGTGTGCTCTTTCTTTTGGCATATTTACTCAGAGATATAACACAGCATGAAGTACACACCTACACGAAACGCAATTTAACAGAAATTGATTACATGTTGTGAATTCCAATCCAGACATGAAGATACAAATGATGGAAAAGAGATTCTTAAAGGAATCTAGTAATCATCGTCAAGAGTGGGAGCAACAAATTTCACCAAGCATCTTTGAAAAATCAACAATGCTCGGATGAGAGTATGAGCGTAAGTACGCCCCATATTCGGAGTCTGCCCTTCAAGGAGGGTTGATCTCTTGAGGGAGCTGGCCTCAGCATAGTAAAGAGTGCACGAGTACCTGCCATTTGGATGGCGCAGATATATAAGAAAGAGTCGTTGCTCACCACGCCTTTCACCTTTCAAAGTCACATTCATCGTATTTTTGGTATTTTTGGTATTCAATTGATCTGTTTGATCTGTTTGTCCCACTAGTCTTTCCTAAAATACATTGCTACATTCAAGTATTTGTTTCACTTTATTATCTCCTGACAGCTTTGTCCGAGGTCAGGAATTGAGAGCAGCTTGGTTCTTCGTAGTCATTCGAGATTTTTCATATAATAAATGTCATTCGACATTCATGGCTATGTGAAGCTGACGGTATGATATCACGAAACTAATCCTTAAAGAACCTTGTGGCTTCAGCTAGCCACTATTTAGTTCTCAATATCATCGTCGCTGTTCTCATCCGTGATACCCTCGTCTTCCTCGGGTTCCTCATCTTCATCCTCCTCGCTGGCCTCTTCATCGACATCTTGGCTGTGTGCAAAGCCACTATCCCTATTGTCATTGTCATCATCGCTGTCCGATGATTCGTTGCCCGGATACTCTTCTCGGCGATCAAGGGTGCCAGCTTCAACCATGATCTGCAACTTTAGACCCTCCCATACATCCTTGTTCTGGTAGAGCCAGATTGGAAGATTGGAGACCTTCCTTGCTATGTTTCCCTCAAATTTTGCTTGAGCATCTGCAATTATTTGGTCTGCATATGCTTCTGTGACCTTTTTAAAGGTTGGCATAGCCTTGTAATTAATTTGAATCCTGCGCCGCTTCTCTTGCAACATATCCAGATTGACATCTGCTTCTGTCCATTCAACGAGCCTTAGTTGGTGGTTCTTATCAACGTCGCGCTTCGTTGTATAGATAATTGTTTCTCTAAAACTCAAGCTCCAATTATCAATATTGCTGAGTCTATAGTAGACCGCCCAAGGACTGTAGATGGCGGATTCGTGGGAACAGTCACTCACTGCAAAATTGGCAACTTTCGTGGCTTGCATGACGTTGCACATGGTGATGAAGGCCTCATCACTCCAATCTCCTTCAATTATCGGACAAATACGATCAACCCGTGGATTGAACCAAAGATTCTTGAGTGGCTTTAGTGGTCCGATATAGCCTCCAATATGCGCAAGGGAAGCTACGTTGTATCGCTGGTTGCGATGTTGGTCTATGAACCACTGTCGGGATTGTCGGCAAACACGCAGTGCTATCGAATATGGCTCATTACTCCATAGTTCAAAGCTTTCTCCCACTTTCTTACATCTGACTGTAACATTCCGTGGCTCTATGATATCTGTGTAACTCCAAATAAGGTTCAATATTTCGTTTGGAAGATGAATGGGTGCCTTCCTAGAGATATCGGAGGCACGAAGTGGTGCAGATTGATTGCTAACCTGATATTGTGCATTAAGATTTTTGATTTCCATGTCGATCTCACCGGATGAGTCCACCAGTTCATTGATTGATGATTTTGAGTTCTCCATTGTTGCGTTAGGTATCTACAGTTCAAAAGCAAGCTGGAATTTGAAGTTAATAGTCGAGAAGGTGACGTGGAAAGTTGTTCGTTGTAAAATTTTATCAAAATAGTATTGAGAGATGAGATTTATTAACGGAAGTCTTGAAGTGTCCAGTATGATATTTTCAAAGAGGGATAATCTAGCCTTTATAAACTGCTAACAGTGATTCCGAAACGTGTTTAGGTTGTTCATTCGGTAGCGCGACAGCGCGAGGTGTCCACGCTATCGCGCTATTCGCGTGGACCACGAGGTAAAAATCGCCGTATCTGGAAATATCTTGATATTATACTTATTATTTACAGTATAAGAAAAGCTCTTTCTTTGTTCTCTCCCTCCTGTCAAAGGCTCTAAGTTCTCTTGTACTGCTTCGCTTAGCTTTTGAATTCACTTGGTAATTTAGTGTTCACGTAAACTGACTTCCTTTTTAAGAGGAGAGGAGGGGGGATGATTTTGGTTCTGTATTCGGGAGTGAAGATAGCAAAGATAGATTAGTGTCATTGAGCAGTTGATTATCATGACCAGAAGAAGTCTTAACTTTTTATTGTAGCTAAACTGATTTCAAATTTCATTTTTCACGTTTTTGATAGTCTCGCAATTCTTATTCGACCTGCACTCTATACTTTTGTCTCTAAGGGTTTGGGGAAACCATGACTTGTTTAGCCGTTTGAACTCAAGCTGCTTCTCCTCGGCTCATACTTAGCAAACGGAGAATTTTGGCACATCCTATTCATGTACTTTTAGATATATAGTAGACGGTATATAATCAAGAGTATTTTACCTCACAATGAGCAGTATATCAATCATATTTCTAATATCTCTTGTTAGTTGGTTTTGTGTATCTACTCTAAATAGTTTCTTGTTGTCGCGTTCTACTCTCCTCTTCTTCCATTTTGCGGTGATAGCCATGGTGCGTTTGTCTCAAACCTATGATACAACTAACTTAGCTTCAGCTGTATTTCGGATAGAAGATGAAATTGAAAGCGGTGCATGATAAATTTCAAACATTCTAGGTCACCATGAAAAATAGATTTTTTAGACAGATCCTGACTTTGATGGACTATGGAATTTTAATTGAAGATGTAGGTAAGCCCTGTAGTTAGGAGACTATATTTTTCTGCAATGGGTTACGCAACGAATTTAAAGAAATCTTATATGAATGTTGTTTTAAAGTCACTATCTTGCCTCCTCTTTATTATCAGTGTCATAGTCATCATTGTTCTCGTCTTCGATGCCCTCATTTGGCTCTGGCTCTGGCTCCTCATCTTCGTCACTCTATCCACCGCCATCTGCACAACTTTCATCTTCTCCAATCTCAGGATCAAGAGATCCAACCTCTACCATCATTTTTAACTCTAGATTTGCCTTGGCTGTCTTTTCGAGCAACCAGGTTGGAATTCCTTCAACCATTGTCTTTCTCTCACCATTATGCTCAGCCTCTTCATCAGCCACGTCTTGAGCATCTTTCAGGGCAGTTGTTTTCTTCAACATTGGTCTGGCATGATGCATTTGATTGCTCCTAGCCTTGCTTTGGTATATGTTTAGAGTAATTCTGCTGGCGTCATATGGCACAAACTTTGGTCTACAATGCTTGTTGAAGCTTCGTTTCGTTGTGTAAATCATGATATCTTTGAAGCTTGAACTCCAATTCTCGATGTTCGACATGGTGTAGAAGGTCCCCCATAGGCTCCTGCGAGCATCTTCGGCATGGGACGTTCCGACCCAGTCCAGTATCTGCCATCTCTCAGATCTTTTCGAACAACTCTTGTGGGATGCTTTCCATGGTCGTTCCATTAGATCTCGTTTTTCCTTGAGATGAAGAAGGCGCAGAAACAATTTGAGTTGAGCTCTGGGACATGGTGGTTGATATTGATCTTGATTCTGGTTGCTGATTGATAGAAGAGAGGTAATCGATAGAAGGAAGATTCAATATCGAAGTGATCTGAGAAGGATAGTTTAATGGAGTTTTATGTCTTATAGATATCGAAATTGTCCTGTTAAGATCTCGTGGGAAAATTCAAGTACGAGTTAGATTTGAGGGAGAATATATTCTAGCAAGAGGGTTTCAGCGTCTCTGAGAACTACTTAAGCATTTTTCGCTCATCAAGACCGCGAAGTGTGGATACGCGAACAAAGGAATGGAGATAATACGCCGTATTACAAGGGGACACGAGGTTATATTCATTATATACGTGCGCCAGATTGAGAATTCCGATTCCTGAGAATTAAGCGAGACGTTTCCTATACCTGCGCAATTCGTTTCCCCGCATCACATCTTACCGTAGTATGTAGAGATACTCAATAACTTCATCTCCTACAAACAGAACCTACTACGTGATATGAGTCTTGACGGTAACTTCGAGCCTTTCAAATCAATATATATTTCTGATACCGTGACATATCTTTGAAATTTCTGTTGGGGCCTAAGCTAGAGATAATGGACTGGCGCAGTCGCTATTGTGCACTATCTATTCCGCATGGTAAGATGTAGTGCCAACATATGAATTATTCACTTCTCGTGAAGTTGATTCTGTGTAAATAAGCTCGACCGTACGTCATGTGATATATATATGTTCCGTTATTTCAGGATTAGTTTCTTAAAATCCTGTCAATACACAAACTCCTTCGAAAAACACATTTGTTATTGAACTTTCATTTCTCAATAATACCTCCTTTAAGGAAGATGAGAAACCAATGGGAACCCATGAAACATTTAGGACGAGCGCGACCAGCAGCCCAACACCCTCTACCAGATATTACCTCTGATGCGACGCCAGCACTTGAAGCTTCTACAAACTTGACGGAATCAACTCCAACTTCGATACAGAATTTTGGATACGATAGTTTACTAAACGCGACCGGGCCAACTTTGGGCGCTAATTACCCCGTCCAATTTTCATCAGTTCCGCCAAATGGGCACGCCTTAGCTCCCATCTCCTCTCGACGAGTAGTGCTAGATGAAATCACACTTTTCAGAACCTTTCCGAGAGAGATCCAACTGATGATCTGGGAACAGGCCGTCGATATAAATCCGCGAAATGTTCCAGTTGGAATCATGCCACAATTAGGGCCAGGAGGATTCAAGTTCGGAACCGATATTCCTATTCCAGAAGGTTTTATGGCGTGTAAAGATTATTACGAGGCAGCCAAGAAACGCTACAGTCTATTGGATGGCCGCCTGAAGGCTAACGATATGACCATGGTGCAACATCTTCCATCTAACTTCTGGTTCAATTCCGCGATCGATAGATTCTGCCCCGTTCAGGAGTGGAGTCCTCACAACTTTGAAATTGGTCTCAAGCTTTTCTTTCAAATACTCCAAGTTTCGAAAATTGCGATTAATGACTACGCGGCCGATGATGCTCACCATAATGGCGAGACATGGCAAAAACTTTTTCACAAGGAAGGAATCTCGAATTGGAGCCCATACGTCAAAGATATATTCTACTATATCACGTTTCAACGTTTGAACACAGATATAGAACTCTCCTTCGTACCTAACAACAGACCATCAGACGACCCAGGTAGATTCTATTTCCAGAGATTTGTTCATGCCTACAAGCATTGGACCCAGATACTCGATGCTAAAAAGGGATACAAAGGGCTGGCCCACCTTCAGGCAGACCAGATGTGGCAAGATGAAGTGGCCGAAAGAGAGGGTAATCCTAGAGTAAAGCTCACTGATGTTCCTCAATGGCTATTTGATGTCGAGAGTGATTGGTCAGTTGCACAACCCAGGTTGATGATCGAGACACAGACCTTTACAGCTCATAAGCACTCAAGTCTCAGGATTGCTATGCCACAATGGTGATAGTTACCGATACAGTGGCTTTGGATGGACCTTTTCGGTGTTGATGCTGTTAGATAATTTGAATCGGTGTTACGTGATAGAATTGAGTTCTGAAAATTGTATTTTTCATACGCGGCTGGTTATACATTATTCTGTAGATCTATCGGTACGGATATAGCCTGGGGGTATTTGGTTGAAAAACATAGCAGCGCATGACGTATAACATGGAAATTCGTGCGGGAAAGTCCCAAGGAGGGAGTACTTCCAAGTTAGCGTTGAGCAATCACAATGATAAGGACAAATTCAAGGATTTTCTGGTCCGAGAGTTGCATTAGTGATAGATTAATCCTAGAAAATCGTACAAATAATGATAATTGAGAATTCCGATCAAACTACGAAAATGACTTGACTATGTATCCGTTGAAATTTTACATCGACTATAATAAATTTAACACTGGTAAAGTTGGGTTATTTCCTGTTTTTCTGCGGGTATTGGATAGATCTAAACAGAATTTTCTTGAGGGATATACTTGAATCTTGCTTTTAGTCTCTAGAGCTATATGTTCATGTACTCCGCTTCCTAGGCGATGAAAAGGTGCTTATCGTCTGTTAGAAGTAAAGGTAAAGAATTTTAAAAGAATTATATATTGAGTACAATATATATGAAAGGGGTTATAAATAGCGATCAAATATTTCAATCAGGAGAAGTTAAGAGACTTCTCGGTTGAGATATGGGTTGCAAAATGTGTGTTATTTCCTCGGCTTAAAATCATTCTTTGCAATTGGAACTACACATCCCACACAAGCAGGTTTCTACGTGAACTTTTGTACGAGTGACTCAATACCAACATGTGATTTGATCTCTGAGTCTATTCTGTTTTACATCTATATGAATGCAAAAAACGCGAGCTCTACCGCTCAGTTATCTTTTGGAGACTTACCGATTGTCTTGATCACCAGGCTTCAATACAATATTATTGGATGAAGAGAAAACTTGGTCTGCCAGTTTTAATCAGGCATATTAATTCTCATGTTTGTGGGTTGTCACTACTTGGTGCATTTATCCACAATTCCAATATAGAAACTACTATCAAACATTTAAAATTATTGTTTTTTTTATCGATTCAAAATACCACAAATGCGTGAGGTCTTCAGGATGCCACAATTTTGACTGTTTTCACCCCTCACTTAATATTATATTTTAGACATTAACAGTATCAAATCAATGAGCCACCACCTCATTACCACTTTTCCTCATCTCCATAAACTCTCGAAGGTACTACATCTACCATGATTCATAACTTAAATGCTGCTAATTAATTCAAGAGCTTAATTTACATTGTGCTATAGTTATTCGCGAACGGAAATAACTGTTACACACGCCACTCGGCCATTTCTCGAGAGATAAGTAAACTTTTCAGAAAGCCTGCCAAAACTCTCAGCTAATAATATAGACCATTAATCACTGTGAACTTTATAATGTGTTAATTTGCCAGGTAGCAACGGATCATTAGTCACAAAACTTCCCTTGTGTGACCCCTCATTTTCGCTAATTTGACCAATCACGCGGGCCACCCCGCACTGGCACATTATGAATAACTGGCACACAGATTTGTTGTGTTAAGATATTTGTTTTATTTGGTAATGATATATCATGATAAGGTTGCTAAACTAGTACACGATCGGTGTTCTACACCCTCTCACTCCAGGCGCCGGATTTCCTGAACCGATCTTTAGTCAATTCTCCAACCCATTCCTCCGCGCAAACAATCTATCTCCCAAAAATCGTGACAGCATTGACTGGATTGGCAACCATTTCTCGCTGCTCTGGTCTAGTCCACCTTCCACGGCAGTCAAACAACCACTGTGGACAAGCATCGAGCTTGACGCAATCTCGGCCGTGCTTCTTGTTCTTCCCATCTTCAAGAAGCTGTTGCTTCAAGATCTTTTGAAGATTTCCAAAAGATGTGTTTTGTCGACGCGCAATCTCCATCTTCGACTTCATAACCTTGGGAGGATATGCAACTTTGCGATCGAATTTAGTTAATTGGATGTCTTCATCGGGTTGAACCAGATATCGTGAGGTATAAATTGTGACCTCTCTGATGTTCTCGTGCATCCAAAAAGGAGACATCATCGTTGAGAATGTGCCCCATTTGTCGCAAGGAATCGATGCGGATCTCTGGAATGCACAATCATTCAGAGCAATATGTTCAACCTTTACATCGCGCATCTTCTTGGTCAGAGCGTCGCATTGGTCATCAGTCATAGATGTCATGGGGCAGATGAGATCGGTTGATGGATTGATCCAGATTGACGCGGCTGTTCCAGTACCCAATGTTGTGACAAGTGGAAACTCTGCTCGAGTGTCGAAGACGGGCAGGTAGAACTTCTTTCCGATAAACCTGGATTCGCTGTTCGCGTGAAGGACCCCTGGAATTGAATTGCGACTTCTAAAAGTATAGAAACGTAAGTCGCCATGACCTTGAGAGAACTTCGCGTCCAAAACCCTATCGCTCGAGAAGACAGTAACGGTACGCTCATCCCGGCAAGCCTCTTTCCAGATCATCAGTCGCACTTCTGTTGGTAAAAGTGCGAATTGGTGAAAGGTGCTCAAGTGCTTTTCCAAGAAGCCTAAGGATTTTTGTTGCGAGCCACTGAACCCCTGTGAAGATGTTCTAAACATGACTCTATCTTGAAGAAGTCGAAATTTCGGGTTTTCTGATACGATGATGATATGTGGTCTCAGAAATGCTCGTGGATTTCGGAGCTCAGGAATCTGGTTGGAAGAAGAGATTTGTATGTAAAATTTAGTTGTTTTTGAAGTGGATTTGTTGGATGTTGTAAAGAAGAGAATGTAATAATCAGAAATTTGAACGGGGAAAAAAAGCTTTTAAGGGAATGGGGACAAGCCAGACACGACCAAGCTAAGCGACTAAGACCGTAGCAAGATAGCACGGGTTATTGAACATTGTATTTATAAATCGGATGAGTCAAAAACACCGTAACTGAGTTAATACATACTTTGTACGACAGCTCGCTTAATACTACGGTAATACGGTACAATAGCGGTACGAAACCTTGCAGAGGTGCAATGGTGTGAATCATTGTATGTAGCTGATATTTTGAGTGTCTAGTTCTTCAGGCTAGTACTAGCGTAAGACGTGCTTCTAACGAAAATATTGATTTCTTTTTCAAATCACATACAGATAACAATGTAGATTATAGAGATTTATTAAAAGTTGTAGATGTAAATCAAAGATACCTGTGTGCTTTAAGGCAGAAGGTCTGGCGAGAAGGGGAACACTATTAATGATACATTGCTTACTAAAATATATCTAATTTAGAGGTCATAAAAGCTGCCCATAGCTTGTCAAGAATTGCAGTTCCTATACACCCATCCTTTCTCTCAAAAACCAAATAGGATTCTCGTAACCACTCGGATACCACGCATCCTTATTCCATTCCTACAAGACAACCCTCCGTCTTTGCTCATAATCAGAAGTGACCATACTTACCACTAAATAATGTTGATAAATATTCATCGAGAACTCTAAGACTTTCCTAGAATCTGTGATTTTTGAACATGAACTTTCATTGAACCTTGCGAGGATGTCCTCATTCTTGATTGAATAAGGCTGAAGAAGTATCATCTTATACAATAATCCACCTATAGAATTTCTACCCAAACTCCTTACCAGGTCTAACGCCAAGGAAGCAAGAACTTGTTCCTGGGTCTCTGCCAGTTGCGTGATTTTCCGAAACGCCATTCTGGGCATTCAGGCAACCTCTGTGCCTAAGTTCCCTCATTGCGTCTATCATGATTTTTTCTGACCTGTAGTGAATGAGTTGCGGCGAGTTTTCCAATCAAGTCATTAGAACATTTCATTGCATGACAGCAATGAAGTGGTCCTGATGGGCCATAGAATGTGCTTACATCTCTGCTATAAAAGAGCTCTGTGGGTTGATTATGAAGCTAGATAGGTTGAATGTCGAAGATTTGAAGATCGATCCCAATTTTGATATCAAGAGAGTTCTATTTAAAAAAAAAGTCAGTTAGCAGCAGCAAAGTATTGCAAACAGGTTCAGGTGTGAATTATTAGCGGTAAGGAATTCGACTCATGTTATCAGGTATTCAGAACTTGTGTAGAAAGTTAGTGTCTTACTAATCAATATGATCTTAATGAAGTCAAATAACTCTCATCGAGTACGCGTCTTCATATCTATAAGATTTGCTATGAAAATTGAACTCAATCTTGGAATTATCTTTGTCGAGTTTACTTGAGGCAGAGATACAGTGACTGTTAAATAGCTAAATGACTCCATTTTCGCGTAAATATAATAGCGCCAATATCTCGCTAGTCTGTTTACAGCGTTTTGATTGGTGCTAGGCGAATCTATATATTCAACAGCTGAAGAAAACAGAAAGCTGTACTACATTTCACGCGATTCTCCAGTTGACTCGAATTATTGATAGGAAGATTTGTTTCACGTGCCATTGTAGTACGTCTAGTTCTGAGAATTAGCAAGTCTTAATACTCAGGATTCGCAGCTACATATATAACCGTTGCGATACGAGTGAGTATACACACGTGAGGGTGCGCTAAAGCATGAGTGTATTGCATGTAGCTCTCGTAGCTCTGGACCTAGAACAGAATACACAATATCAATCAATGCATTTTAGACCTATCATGAAGATGTCAGAATCACCAGAGGTGATATTAACAACAGTGAGACCGTGCTCGAAAGTCTCGATTTAGTAGAATTTCGAACCTTCTATATTCTGGGAGCTTTATAAGTTTTTATGGACGATATTGTTTCGATGGCAAAACATGAGAGCCCATGATCTAGAATTTCTATGAGTAGTATCTACCTGCAATGTGCACTGAGAAAGTAATATTTGCTGCAGCTAATGGAATTAAGCAAAAGAAAATCGTTGGAACTTAGGATCACGAGGTCATAGTTAGTTTGGTATAACTGGCACTAATATGATCACTTCGGTTTGTTTGCAAAAATTTACTCTCCTTTTGTACATTGATCACAAAACATTGGGTCACGGGATACAGAATGAGGGCACAAGATCCATAATGAATCAGTTGCTGTTATTTCGTGGGAAGTTATTGGAATGGAGCCTGATCTATGTACCTAAGATAATGTAAGATGAAAAGTAGACCCAGAGCTCACAGCTCAAATATTCGCAAAGAATAGAAGTTCTTCCTGCGATCATGACCGAAGAATTAGGGAACTGCCCGAGGCGATGTCTATCATCCTAATTCTATCCCCCAAATTTTGTACCCATGCACCTCGTGGTAAGATCCGAATAAGTAGGCTGCCAGACAGTCAGTTGCTATCGGAGAGGAAGGAACCACATCCCACAGAATGCACTTTGCTACCACTCATGACGTAAGTCGGCAGTACCTATACTCCCCAGCAAGTACATTGTGCCATTCAACAGTGCACCAACACGATCGACCAATGGTTCAACATCAAACCTAAATATCCTTCAAAGCCTCAGTCTACAAGGCCGCACAGCATATAAGCTCCGGTTGAGTCCATGTTGTCCGATGCTTATAGAGCCAGCTAGGCATGTGAACCAATCTTTCACCCGTCATCTTATCCAACTCATTCTGAGCACTTTGCAAAGAGCTGAGATTCCCCATCAAATCTTCCAGTTCTTCGAATCTGCTATCAGCCTCCATAGAATGCAGCATGACTTCCTCAGAATCTCGTTCGAGATTAACCCTGGTCGAACTGACGATTCTGAGAGGCTGACGACGGATGTTAATCGGATGTAGTGAACTGTAAGCTAGAATCTGGCGAAGACTATGATTCATCCACTTTGGGATGACGACAAACGTGTGCAAATTGTCTGTTAACTGGGAACATTGAAATTCAAAAGAATCAATACATAAGCGTTCGATATTGAAGCGATTTATCATTTGACTGAATTTCAAGAATTGGAAAACTGTCCATATGGGACTCCCGTTGCGGACAGGACAAACGATATCGATACTAGGCTTTAACCAGATACGCGGAAGGGGAGATGGGGTATCAGAAGTTGGTGCATAGATGTCAAGCTTTTGTGATTCTCTTCGAGCTTCGTGACAGACTTGCATGATGGCAGGAGTCTCGGATGCAAATCGAAATTCGACGTCGTCGTTTTTTCGGTCGGTATAGACGGGCCAGATAGGAACTGCTCTCGGTTCTAGAGATGCGAATTCATATATCTTAATTCGGAGTTCTAGTGGAAGGTCCATGAACTTAGGGAACGTGTCTAGATGGGGCTTATGAGATTGCTGTTCGAGGTTAATGGTTGAGGGTACAATTGAGTAGTTTGGTCGGGGAGGTGGAGGAGACCGCCGGCATTGTTTGTTTCTCGGAGACTCCCGGGTGATGGATGAATCAGAGCATTCTTCTTGTTGCTCTTCTTCAAACGAAGAGAGGCCGCGATCATTGGCATTTGGCATTAAGCTTCTCTTGTGACTTGTAGCCCCTGCAGAGTGATTGAAAAAGGAGTAAGACATCTTTTGTGATGATGATGTTACTAGGGCTCGATGACTGTAAAATTTAATCGTGAGACAATTGTATTTCGATGGTGGAGAGATAAATAGTGAGTTGGTGTCAGTCGACTTTGATGTTGACAAAATGAGAACGAAAGAGTTGATCGGAGGGGGGGAACTTCCTTTAAGTAAGTATCTCAAAGTATTGAATCCTTTTGTTTACGGTTATGATTTGTAAAATTTGTTTACGGCGTCACAAACTTCACACATGATGAGATTATGCTATGTAATGATACAGCTATACGGCTTCTTAAAAACATAAATGTTCACCGTAAACACATATCTAGAGACACTAACAATTGTGGCTTCGATTCATGTCGCTAATCACTGAGACAACGGTGATTTTCAAAGTTCGCGACATTCAGACGTGGTGCCGTACAGACTCTTTAAACTTGATCTTGTATGCAGTTATATCTGTGAACCTTTCCGGGGAAAACGGCGAACTACGCTAGAACATATATAAAACGGTACAGTCACATTCTTATTACAACCGTAACTTTGATGATGAAACAGTTATCTTGTGGAATAACATGGTAATGAGAAAGCTAGTCAATGATTGGAAATGTAGACTTATGGATCTTGTCAATTATCAAAATTCAAGCCTCCCAATCTTTCTCGCTCAGTGAGATCATAATTGAGCATACATATTACCCCTGAAAGACTATCAAGACTTGCATATCTACAACACTTATCGTCTCGCTTACATCTTTCGCCTCCATAAATCCTGTTCAGTCCGCTGACCCATTAAGGCGTTGGCTTATAACGGAACAAGTAAAACAGCACCTGATCCAGAGAAGCTTCATACCACTTTTTAATGTTTTGATTCTGATCGGACAATTAAATAACCTCACAAGCATTGCGTCTTCTTCAAATCGTAAGAGTTATTATTTTAGCAGTGTCAACCGTTCTGTGGAAGAATCATAGCATTATCGAGCAGCTATATGACTATTGAAGGACTATCTTGAAATGAACTAGGCCTGGTATATGCCCACACTTTCTCGAAACCCATCCGGCAGTCTCAATCAGCTTAGCTAATTTGCCTAGAAATCGGCTCTCGAGAAATAATAGTCATATCGAATCAGAAATATCATCTTCTTGGTTGTCCAGTCACAGTTCTTGACTATATCTTGCTCTCTGTATTAAATCTTCCATAGTACACAACCCGCTTGAACATTCTATTTTCTTTGCATTCCAATTGTAGGCGGCCCAAAAGTTGAACTAGCAGATGAGACAATTGAATTTCCAACACTTAGATATGAATTGAAATCTTAGAACAAAATCTTTTCGGATCTGTGGAACCACTTCTTGAACCAATCGTCAACTATTTTGTGGCAGTATCAATTGAATTCAATGGAGTCCAGCCTTGCCAAGTCCATATCTCATTCTCGCTACCATTATCACTCGTCCTTCCATATATCACTATATTCCCCACTTTCACCGTCGGCTTTTTCCAAGAACCAACGATGTGATTTCTAAGTCTCTCAGGGATCGGTTGACCTTCTGCTAACGCTCGTGTAACTTCTTCGTCATACCGTCTTTCATCCTTCTCAATATCTGCAACATGTGCATCCAACGCCTCTTTCTCCCTATTACAAATTAAATCAACCCCAGTAATTGGCTCAAATGCAATCGTTAAATTCCTCGATTTGAGTCGATCATAGGATACAAAAGGCTCGTAATAAATGAGTATTTCATTGATACGACGCCCCAGAGATTTTGATAATCCCGGGTCATAATGATCAGAACGAATGGCAACTTTATGCAACTTTGAGCCACATAGACGTTCATCTGCATTAATCATTTTGCTGAAGGCACCATATCCATGTTCATTTGTCTGCGCAGCAACAATTCTGTCTCTATCCCAATTGACGTATATTCGCGGCTCACTTACAATGTTCATTCCACAATATGTTGGAATGTTGATTCCGAAATCCAATTGATAGAATTTGAGGCCGATGATACGAGATTCTCGAGATACATGTAGAATTGAGGGTATGGCACTAAGAGTTACCCAGCGAGTCACCTGACAGGCGAACCGCCTTCGTTCCTCTTCAAAATTTCCGAGACGTCGGTACCAGATGTCAAGGTTGCGTGGTTGATTGGCAACGAGTTCCCAGATTTTGAATCGTATTTCAATGGGTAGTTTGAGGAATCCAATGCGATTGGGAGCGACGGGTTTAGGAACAGACGGAGAACTAATGGTTTGATCCATGGTGGGTTGAATACTGATGAGTGTCTGATGTATAAGGCTAGCGGATCCAATGCGGATTCAAGTATTTGAATATAATGCGATGTTTTAAGAAACCGATATACTCTAAGTCGATCCAGATATATAAAGCGCTCTGCTATAGAACTGCAGTTCCAACTATTGAGAAGCCTGGTTGACGGAAATCCGAATGAGAGTCTTAGACGATGTCGATCCCCTGATGCATTGATGAGCTCTTAGACAGGTGCGACCGAACGAAGTACAGTGCTATCCCTTCACTGTCTTTGGTCCTGTGCCGAGTATAATAGGTTTGAGGTATTGATCCTGTCGATTTGATAGTTCAGAGAAGAACGATGTGTTCTGAAGCAGAGACTTTTCAAAGCCAGGTAGCAGTGCCAAGAGGTGATGTCAACATATCGATAGTCGGGCTTACATACACACTTGACCAATCGGAAGTTTGGAGGACCGTAGAATCTAGAACTATTCATCACCGACCCCACATTCACAACCTCCACACTACCGAGACTAGCTATTTGAGTATATCCTCGACGTCATGAAATGTTATGAAGTATTTGAGTTTTCAAACTGGAAGAGATCATGCAATTTCCATGTATAAATCGAGTCGGAAGTATTCCGTAAGGTATCTGGTTACTTCGATGCGTTCGGTATTGAGATTGATTTTGCGATCCTTGGGTATCAACAGTTATTAGTTTCCCCGCACTTAACAGTCAACAATGTTATCCACAACTCTCCTCCCACTGCCGTCTCTCTTTCTCCCGTAGCCAATGGTTCACCAGGTGCGAGCGTATCACACGAGGGTAATTGGATTTGCTGCGATAACTTACGTGTAGCATAAAGTTATCATTGTACACAAGATATGTTACGATCCATATCCCCTGGTAGAGCTCGAGACATACGACTATCCACTCACTTGAAGCATTCTCATCCAGCAAACGCAAAATACGCCTGTCACCTTCCTTCCACAACACATGCCACTACAACATCAAAAGCCAACAAGCCTTGACGCCGCTTTCGACCAAACACTGTCCAGACTTCAAGCTGGATTGGCATTCTCGGTGACCCTTCTTTCTGGTCTTGACTTCATATGGTATGGGACTCTTCGCGCCTCCCGAATTCCCTATCCTCTATCCATCGCAACAATTTCCATCCACGACCTTTCCTTCCTCAAATGAATCCAGCATCTATCATCTCATTCTCTCTGCGCAATTGAGATTGAAAGCCATCCCACCAACCATCCCATCCTCACGGCAAATTAGAGTAAACCTCATAGATCTTCATCACAAGATAGATAACCACAAGCACCCAAACCACACCCCAAAGAAACGCCTTAACAAAAAACATCCAAACCGAAAAGAAAAACACAAAAATCGGTGACACCCAAAGAAGCATCGTCCACAAGATATAAAGCATTAGCAATGTCATAAATGTGAATGTAAGAGGGCCCGTGAATTCAAAAAGCAGGGACATGATGGATGATAGATGAGTTGATATTGATCGCGGAGTTAAAGGGCGAAATGAGGTTCCAAAGTAGTATTGATTAGGAAGATTGGGGGTACTAGTAATAAAATTACCCATTTTTGAAGTTCAATATTTTGTTTTGCTGTTCCACAGAGATGCATCTGCATGTATCCACATTTGATCTTTGTATGCAATGCTACACTTTTCACGTGATACCTCTGAAAATCCTCTTCATTTCTTGTGTCGTGGGAAGACACAATACAAGCCTCTTGCACAGGGCGAATTTTGAATTTTGGGGATTTTCGGAATTGCTGACCATGCAAAAGTTGGGCAAGAAGTATCAAGATTTTTTTCAAGAAAAGGTAAGTTAGTTACCCTCCTGTCTCTTAAATCTTTATAAATACTAACCAGACGTTTTTTTTTCTTATATTTCAAAAAAGGTAATACGGTTAATAGCATATGCTAAAAAAATCGCAGATATCAAAGCATTTAATCAATATAATGCGCGTAGACCTTAAAGTGTAGTAAGAATTTGTATTATGTAGAAATGCTCAACATTACTATTCATGACTGTTTAATGATTCAACAGACTAAAATAGTATCATAATGATATTCAATGAGTTGTCAGTCTATCTACCACCCCTCCCCTAATCCCCTGATCCTAAAGCTAACCAGCAAAGGTCTTCGCTTAAATCTCTCGTACTCTTCCTGCCAAACTAAGTGACCCGATTAAATATGCCATTTCCACCTCCCACTTCTCTCACCCCTCCAACAAGCACACCCTCAATTCCTCCCCGACGGACAATTCGGACACCCCTCAACCCCACAATGCCAAACCTCAAACGGATTCTTCGATCTCAAAATCCAACCAAGCGACTCCGGAACCGCATGCATCAACAACCTCAACCTGGGAGGCGTCCACTTTTCCAAAACCTCCGTCGAGAGATGGTGAAAAACGGGTAGTCTAGCTAATAATTGATGTGTAGGCGGATCCGCAAGACCCTTTTCAACATCACGACGGTCTTGTACCATTTTTGGAACTAGGTCTCTATATCTAGTGATAGATCTATGGAGATCTGAAATCACAACTCCGAGTGTGCATTTATCTGTCTTTCGGATGGTATTCCAATCTACCGATGAGATGGTGTGAGGAAAGCCTCGAGATCCATCTTTGTATGGGGTTCCATAGTTTGCTCCTGCGTAGAGAGTGATTAATTTTAAGGCGTGAGGAGGACGCACGATACTGGTTAGCCATTGATCGAGATGTACTGGTCCGTTGAAATCATCGGCTAGCTCACCCCATTGTGATTGGTCGAGTGCGATGCTCTGACACTGGGCTTTGTGCATCGCGGCTACGAGCATAACTGTGACATCTCCGAATAAGTCACCAACGGGACAAATGACATCGCAGTGGGGATTGATGTAGAATCGAGGTGTGAGACTGATGGAAAAGAATCTGAAGTTGTGCTCGGCTACGAGGGTTTTCTTGTAGTATCTCTTGGCTTCTAGTCTCGACTCTTGGCAAACACTAAATAGCGTGGGAATGGGAGTATCGGATCGGAATCTGACAAGCTGTTTAGATTCATCTTCTCCAGTGACTTGTTTGCTTAGATGATGACGTCTCTTCACAGCCACGGGTACATGGCGGCGTTCAAAAGAAGCAAATTTCCACACCAAGCGTTGGATCTCAAGGGGTAATTTAGGAAACTTCGTGAAGGATTTCGGACTGCTGCGTGAAGAGAACATAGCTTTGGTAAGTGGTGATTTGATGATGAATATCGACGATATGTTGGATACTCAAAGTGGAAAATATGGCAAATTTCTTTGAGTGGGTAATTCGTAGGTATTGCTTTGGTTGCTTGTATCGAATTGTGTGTTGAAAGAGGAGCAGGGTTTCTAGGAGGACTGTAGAACTTATATGACCTAGTTCATCAGTCGTCCATACAGCCAAGACGCCGTAAGGTCATTAACACGGCAAAGAAAGTCTACCTCTGCTGTATTGGCATCATCGAAACCATATAATTTCATCCCACTTCATTCAAAGAAGGCATTTTCATCAGACTTGCCGTACACCGTGTCACATTTGACAAAGTCAACCCTAGATATCCAACTACGACTTCTCAGATCCATTTCCACCATACCGTACTAAATTATTACTGAATCATCGCCACCACCGTATCGCTGTACCTCCCTCAGAGTCCTTTGACAATAGTTCTGATTAAGTTTCCGAGGACCGTAACACCTGCCACAAATAACACACCAAAACATTACCTAAAACCCAAATCCAAAGCCTGCATTCCCAGTCCCCGCACCTCCCGTTCCAACACCCCCAATCCAATCCCCTGCATTCAACCAATCAACTTGTCCCCACATCTCTTCCATGTCCATCCCCTCGAGCGATTCTAATCCCGTATTGAAATCCAAACTTGCCGTAAACTCATCATCAAAACCCGTCTGTCCAGTATGCGCAGGCTGCGGTAGGAAATTAACACCTGCATTGTCCCATACTTGTGGCCCCTCGGCTCTTGTTTCATTTTCAATTCCTATGTTAGTTGTAAATTCTTCAGTCTGAACTTGGGCTGGATCAATTGTACTTTGAGCCATCCTGGAAGAATCTTCTTGGCTAGAGTTGCTTTTCGCCTTCTCCATTTCCATTTCCCTATCAAAATCTCCCCCATCGAGAACCCACTTCAAAACGCGTCCCACCACCCCCCTCACTCTTCTCAACAATGCATAATTCCCATCCGTATCTCTCACCCAATCCAGAAATGCACCAAAGAGTGTCAATCTCTGAATCGCTACACTTTTGGGAAACCTCGCCATAATTTTCTCTTGGGTTCCCATTTTCCTCGTCTCAGAGCCAGAAGCAGAGGTGGAATTTCCACTCATCCTTTTTAGCAACTCCACACAGATTACACCTGCCGCTGGAATTCCATAGCTCGTAATAAACCAATCGAAACAAAATTCAAACCCAACCAACACATCCCTCTTCTCCCACATCATAATGACCTTTTCCAACATTTCCATTGCCGTATCCAGTAACCCCTGAATATAGTTCCCTTCTAGGCGATTTGCTACTGCAAGTCTATATAACAAAAGAGTGTTTTGTAGCGCTTCAAATGACATGATTAATTGTACAAATAGTAATCTCCCTGTCGATGTTGGATTAAACTGGAACTGCGGTGGTCGATTCAGAGATAAGGAGGCAGTACGAGAAAGAAGAGAATCTATGCGTTCACGACTAACCTCCACATCCACTCCTAAAGCTCCTTCTAATATCTCTTCTTTGACCATGTAGATTTGTAGACTAGCTCTATAGCAAGTACTACAATACATTTCGCCTTTCCGATTCCATCCTTGCTCATCGCAAGCAGCTATTGCTTGTTGCAATTGAGCACGGGGAAGGAAAAGTTCTGTTTCTGAGAGATCGGAAGGCATTTGAAGACGGCAATAAAGACGAGAAATGCCAGGTGGTGTACCGTTGAGAGCCGAGGAACATTTGTCCATGGTGTAAACTGAAGCGAACAATCGACGTTTGTATTCGGCGGCTGTGGTTAGGAGGTGAGGAGGGAGATGGGGGAGACGGTGGAGTCCAATAGCACACGCTGCTGTTATCATGTTTCCATGTCGGTTGAGATTACTATAATCTTAATGTTTGAGCGTTATGTTAGCTCATCTTCTGAAACAAGCATTATCATGACAGAGTCTTCCGAATTCAAGAGAAAGGTAACATACTCTCATCCCCCACCACTGAACTCTCCAACACATAAATAGACAACCGAAATGCAACCACGATCTCATTTACCGTATCCGTATAATCACACATTTTCCCCATAACATCTGCACACTCGTTCATTCTCCAACTTGTCTGTCTTCTATTCCTCCCATGATTTTCCTCTTTTTGTAATAATGGATTTCCATCCACCAGACTCTGATATGCTCTTCCTATGAAGCAAAACAAGAGCCCCATAGATTCAAATCGAATGTTGGGCCCACTAAAAGTATTGAGCCATGCGATACCATCGTCCGGAGATGAAGGTAACGGTGTTTCTTCGTTCTTGAGCAATGTTTCGACGAAAGGTATGAATTTCTCTTTGCTACGAGGTTCAGCTAAAATTGAGCCAAATGTATCATAGATACTCGAAATTAAATATTTGACCATAAATTCGGGCATGACTGAAAATTCGACAAGATCGTGATACCGCCCTAAAAGTTTATTACAGCTTGAAAGTGAGGGTATGTTCCAAAGTGCTTTGGTAATCATTTCACAACGAATTGTGTAAGATGTCGGTCTATTTCTTCCTAGCTTTGAGAAGGTTAGATTTTGGAAAGCAGAAATGAAATGATATATGGGAGCTCACAAGCGGCGGGCCAAAAGGCGAAGAACTAGGGTTTTTCCTTCCACCCTCCCCAATATCCAACATTCCTCCTATTCCTCCTGATAATATCTCTTCTCTCTTCCCACTCTCATCACCTTCTCCGCTCCCTCTTTCTGTTTCCAATTCTTTCCCCTCTCCTTTCCCCTCTCCATTCCTAAAAACAGCCCCAAAACTTGTGGGCCCCCAGAACCGTTTACTCTTCTTGTAACTAGGCCCACTCCAATTATTATTCATTGTTGGCTTTCCACGCGTTAATTCCACAGAGTTTGGAAACGAATATGTGTGAGATTGACGATTGGGGGTTGGAGATCTACATCCGCGGGAAGAACGGTATACGTTGTTTGTGAGTTTTGTGGTCTGGGTTTCCACCTCGGTTGTGAGCATACCAGGAGAATTGTTTCGAGAAATGGTTGACTTGGAGATGTTGTAGGAATGTTTTGGATTTGTTGAGGGAGCCTCTATATCTTCTCCGCCGCCTTCTTCTCTCTCTACGTCTCTCATAACAGCAGCATTGGCCAAGCTATCCAATCCCCCTCTTTCTCTTTCTCCATTTCCATCAACCCATTCCTCTCCATTTTCACCTCTCCCTTTCACTCGCTCACCAATTCGCCTCCGTTTCACGCTTCCCCCATCTCCACTCGCTCCCCCGCCTTCCTCAGTTCTTCCTCTCTCCCCGACCACCCTCCCGCGACTCATAGGCGCGGGATGATACCAACACCTTCCCTCTAATCCCCTCTTCACACATCTCCCGCAATATGGCTGTTCATGCCCGCAAGCCAATTTCCCAATCCTACACGGTTCACACGAAGGACGCTTGCCGTTTCTGCGTAGATTAGGTGCTGAAGACATGATCTTGTCTTCTATCGAGTAAAAAGCCGAGTTCGTTGGGGAAATATATCCCGTAGTATTATAAAATCGTAACTCCTTATTTATCCAAATTCCGTCTCCAAACAGGACAAGAATCAGGGGAGATCACGAGTCTCCGTGCTCTTTAACAAACTTAATTCCAATAACCACGCATGTAGATGAATCGTATTTTTGCAAACCGGTAACTACACTGTGATGGCTAATTCCTTTGTTCATATGACTCAATCGAATTTAATTTACAAAATAACCATACCGTCACATAGGGCCAGGTTGAGTTGATTGAGTATGAAACGCCCCATGGTGAGAATAGTGATTAAAAATCAAAGTAAGCTACATTCTCGGATGTTGCCTGCGTATGTGCACGTGACGACATCATCACCCTATTCCCGAAATGGATCTGACCCTTGCGAGACGAGCCAGTCTACTGGGTTCATTGATGCCAAGGGGTGGATGGCTAAGTAAGTATGCTAAGAAGGGCCAATGATATGAAAGAGGAAGGTAATGATAGGAAGAAGATTGTAGAAGGAATAAATGTTGCAACTTGACCATAGTCGAGGGTCGTCACATCACATCACACTCATGTAAATACCAATTCATTTTCGTATAATAATCTTTATTGATATGATCAAACTACCTATGACTTCTCACCCACCCCCGCGTGGGGAAGTAAAGTGAATAGAGAGGCATGTATGTTTTCTCAATCGTCCTTTTATTTTCAGTCGGTTCGCTGATCCGATATTTCGTTTAATGACCCCTCTTCTAGCATTCATCTGATCAGATCTGCTTGCCTTCGCTCGCCTGACCACTTGCGTTCTTCACTAAATAATTCATTTCTTGCTTGCACATTCGCAAAAAGAAACTATCCACTCCATCTCTGATATCATACACTTCATCCCAATCACCCGCCCCCCAATTACGATTTCCCTCCACCACCGCCTTCCATCACTCGCCACAACAATGAATCAAAGTGCGCGAGGTAATCAAGCAACGAGATCAAGGTCATCCTACCAAAATAAAAGAGTAAATTGACCAACGATCGATCAAGGTTCATTATCAGCACGCATGATAGCGGTACTGGCAGCATGTGTAAATCAAAAAGCAAAACTCAATTACTGTCCTCCAACCCTCCATCTCTAGACACATTTTTCCCCATTCCTAATGTCATGAATATATTGAAGGACGCATAAAGCATGTGCTACATCGACTGATCCTATTCTAGTCTTCCAGGCATTTTGAAAACCAGATCCTCGAAAGTGAAAAACTCGAATAAAAATTGCAAGTCGATGAATGAAATGCATGATATCAAATGGGCTGTCAATGAGTTTTTGAAAAGTTTGGTATTGTACAACGTGCCCGTAAGTGTGTGGGGGGAAGATAATGTACAATTTGAAAGGCCATTTTCTTAAGAGTTGTCGTAACAAATCCCGATATTTGACAGTGAAGTATGAGCTCCCAAGTTCGCAACCAGGATGGAGGTTCATTCAAGATGAGATTACTCTT